AAGATACCGAATATAGGGAGGTACTGATATATGGGGCCTGTACGAAGGCCATGACCCGCATAGACAATTTTCTGTCACAGACTGTAGTTCCCATTACGAACTCTAAATACGAAATTTGAAACAATTCCTGTGAATAATGAAGCTAAAATAATCAAAATACCGAATATTGGGAGGACCCGTTATATGGGGGCTATACGAAGACCTGGATCTGCAGAGACAATTTTCTGTTTTAGGCTGTAGCATCCATTTCGAACCTCAAATACCTAATTTGAAACAATTCCGGTTAGTAATGTCGCTAAAATCACCAAAATACCGAATATAGGGAGGTACCGTTATATGGGGGCTATATGAAAACGTGGACCTACATGGCCCATTTATGAACTTAACCTGCCTACTGGAAAAATAAACATATGTGCAAAATTTTAGCTTTCTATCTCAATTCGTTCGAAAGATAGCGTGATTACAACAGATAGACGGACAGACTGACATGGGTAAATCGACGTAGAATTTTACGCTGATCAAAAATATATATAATTTGTTGGGTCTGACATGAGTATTTCGAGGAGCTGCAAACGGAATGACAAAGTTAAAAGTTAAAGGGTATAAAAATGTCGGAAATAGCATCAAATTTTTGGCACGAATTATGACCTTCAAACGGCCAATGAAATCGTCACACGCTGCCCGAATGTTGCTCTGCAGTATTTTGTCCCATTGCCGGCGAAGCACTTGCTTGAGGTGATCGATACTTTGAAATTTTTTAGTGCCAACCTTGCTTTCCAAAATACTCCAGACTCAATAGTCCAACGGATTGGTATCTGGAGATTTTGGTGGCCATTGTGCGCTGGAAATGAAGCGAGAACCTTATTTTGTAACCATTCTTGGCTGGCGCGTGCTAAGTGTGATGGTGCTGAGTCCTGTTGGAATGTCCAAGGTCTGCGAACAAAATGTTTGCGTGACAAAAGCTTAATACACCCTTCAGAATATTTTCTCAATAATATTTGGTATTATTCTGATAACACGGTCGATTAATATGAACGGATAGCTACCATCGGCTGTTATGGCGGCCCACACCATCACCATCACCATGGCCGGCGCCGGCGCTTGAGTTCTGGTGGCCGGACAACCGAAGGTGCACATTTTCTGCTGACTTCTTGGGCAAGTAAACACGTTCATTTTGTTTGTTTACAAACTGCTGGACAACGAATGTTTCCTCATCGGAGACGGAGAAAACCGAATTCGGCAGTTCACCACTTTCGGCCAAGCGAAGCAACTCCTTAGCTTTTTTTGAGTCTATTTTCTTTCTGTTGCGGTTTAAGTTCTTGCACTTTTTGGAATTTCAATGGCCTTACCCCGAGCTCGTTTTTCAATATTTGCCGAACGGAATATTGCTATATGTTCAGCTCACAAGCCATTTTTCGGCCACTGCGACGCGGGTTTCGATCAAGTCGCTTCTTTACTTTTCGAACCATTTCTGCTGAGGTTGCTGTTTTTTCCATCCACTTCCTTGGCGTCGGGCTGCGCAACCAGTATCACGTAATCGGTAACGAGCGATGGTACGAGACACAAAAGATTTATTCACATTTAAATGCTGGAGTGCTCTAGCGATAGCCACTTGTGGTTTTCCAGCCAAATATAAAGAAATCACACTATCGCGATTGAATTCCATCACGAATAACTTTTTTTCTGGAAAATTCTCACCAAAATGCTCTTGTACGTTTGTAAATAATAAAATGAGCTGTCACAGGAATAATTTTAACAGCTGTCGGACAAGTGGCTTAGAAATGACAGCAGTCTGAAGTTGGTTGCAGACAAAACTGGCAGTTTTTGGCTGGTTGCTAACAAAACTGGCAGTATTTGATTGCTATGTTAATAATAAGGCCTATTTCTCATTACTATAACAACTCACGGACTTTATTAGTCCATTCCTATTTTCTGTATCACTTTTTTGTCATTTTTTAATCCTAGTAAAGAATTTTCTACAAAATATTTAATTAAATCACATTTCGAGTGCATTAGTTGGAAGCAACAAAACATTTTATTTTCTTTGTTCTCCAACTGAGCACATGTGTCACTTAAACTGCCACGCGAAACAGCATTCGGGAGCATTCGTTAATTAAATTATGTAAATGTCATGTTGTCTGGAAGGACATAGAAAACTTTGTATTTTACAGAACTCTGAACTTTACAGGAATGCAATGTACATGACAATGGTTTGACACGTTTTTTTTAATGCACACTTGTGGCGTGGCGCTCGGGAATTGTTGGAAGGAAGGGAACAGTAAAAAGAATGGGAAATCAAAAACATAGAAACACGTTAATACAATTTTTTATGAAGCCTTTAGACAAAGGATCACAAAAAGCTTATCTTAAAGGAATTCTAAACCTAAGGTAATTTTTTCTTGACGAAACGACCAGAAGACCTCTTACAGAGTTCTTTGTTCAGAAACATGGTCTGCTTTAGTAGGGTCTTTACAGATCTTCGATAGCTCAAATACCTCTCATCGGTTCTAGGTTTCTTTCTACCTTTAAAAGCTCTTCAATTCCTGGAAGATCTTTAAAAGCTCTTCTTACATTTTAAATCTTTTATAGCCGTAGAAATTCTTTAAAAGCTCTTCTAGACATCTCTTCTTTTGAAAGCTATTCTAGTCATAGAAGACCTTTAAAAGCTCTTCTAATCATAAACTATTTTTAAAAGTTCTTGTAGCCATATAGGACACTTAAAAGCTCTTCCAGCGACACAAGACTTCTAACAGCTTTTCTAGCCATAGGAGGCCTTTAGAAGCTGCTCTAAACTTAGAAGACCTTTAAAAGTTTTTCTAGCCAAAGAAGGCCTTAAAAAGCTGTTCTAGCAATATAAAAAAGTCGTATGGGCATAGAAGACATTTAGAAGCTCTTCTAGCCACAGAAGATTTTTCGAAGTTTCTCTAGCCATATATGGCAAGGTTTTTTTTTATCCATTGAAGACTTCTAAAAGCTCTTCTAGCTATAGAAGACCTCTAACAGCCATTCTAGCCATAGAAGACCTCTAAAAGCTCTTCAAGCCATAGAAGACCTCTAACAGCCATTCTAGCCATAGAAGACCTCTAAAACTCTTCTAGCCATATAAGACCTTTACAAGTTCTTCTATCGTAGAAGCCATAGAACACTTTTAAAAGCCCCTCTAGCAATAGAAGACCTTTAAAATCTAGCCATAGAACACGTGTGAAAGTTCTTCAAGCCGTATAATACCAATTAAGGGTCTTTCAGACAGAGAACACCTCTTAAAGGTATTCCAGCAATATAAGGCCTGTTAAGGGTCTTCCAGCCAGATAACACGTGTTGAAGGTATTCCAGCGATATAAGGCCAGCCATAGAAGACACGTCCAGCCATAGATGATATGTGAGAAGTCTTTCAGCCATAGAAAACTTATAAAAGTTCTTCCAGCCAGAGAACACCTGTGAAAGTTCTTCGAGCTATATATAGAATACATGTTAAGGGTCTTCCGGCCATAGAATATCTATTAGGGGTCTTCCCATAGAGAACACCTGTGAAAGGACTCCCAGCCATAGAATACTTATTAAAGGTCTTTAAGCAAAATAACACCTGTGAAAGGTCTTTCAGCCATAGAAATTCTGTAAAAGCTATTCTAGGTATAGAGGACCTAAAAAGGCGCATGTAGATACATAGGACCAGTAAAAGCTGATATGGCCAAAAAAGACCCGTAAAAGCTGTTCTAGACATAGAATAAAATACTGTTTTAGACATAGAAGACCTTCGACGGCTCTTCTAGCCATAGAATATTTTTTAAAAACTTTTCTAGCCATATATGACCTTAAAAGCTCTTCTGACCTCTAAAAGCTCTTTTAGCTATAGAAGAAAACTTAAAGCTTATCTAGCCACTGAAGAACTGTGAAAGCTGTTACAGCCATAGAAGACTGCAAAAAGTCTTTTAGTCGTAGAGTCCAATGTCTTTTAGTCCAAAGGCGCGCCTGGTCACAGAAGACCCTGCTCGTCTAACCAAACAAGACCAGTAAAAACTCTTGAAGCCAACGAAATCCTGTAAAGGCTCATCTATCCACTAAGAACTTGCAAAACGTCTTCTAAGTTAAAATGCCTGAAAAACCCCTTCCATAACCCAGCAGAGATATAGTCGTGGATTTTAACAATATTTTGTGATAACCCAGCAAAGCTTTAGACGTGGATTTTTCAAGAAAATGTTTCCATAATCCAGTAAAGCTTTAGACGTGGATTTTTTAAGAAACATTTTCCATAACCCAGCAGAGCTTCAGACGTGGATTTAAAAAAATCATAATTTCCATAACCCAGCAAAGCTTTAGACGTGGATTTTTTAAGAAAAAATTGTCCATAACCCAGCAAAGCTTTAAACATGGATTTTTTAAGAAAAATTTTCCATAACCCAGCAAAGCTTTAAACATGGATTTTTTAAGAAAAAATTTCCATAACCCAGCAAAGCTTTAGACGTGGATTTTTTAAGAAATAATTGTCCATAACCCAGCAAATCTTTAGGCATGGATTTTTTTTAAGAAAAATTTTCCATAACCCAGCAAAGCTTTAGACTTGGATTCTTTAAGAAAAATTGTTCCATAACCCAGCAGGCATATATACGTGGATTTTTTAAGAAACATTTTCCATATCCCAGCAAAGCTGTTGATGTGGATTCTTTAAAAAAAAAATACATTTTCCATAACCCAGCAAAGCTTTAGACGTGGACTTTATAAAAAAAATTCCAAAACCCAGAAAAGCTTTAGACGTGGAGTTTCTAATCTAAAACCCATTAAAGATTTAGAAGTGGATTTTTTATGACTAACTTTCCGTAACCTAGCAGAGATATACGATACGTCTGGAAGACTTTTAAAAGACCCTTTATAGGCTATCCATAGCATCTCCCTTTCACAGGCTCTCCAAAAAAACATGTGTCCTTATTGCAATCCAATATCTCATGTTATTTCCACTTTAAAAAATCTTAATTTTCTCTCTCTTTCATCCTTTCTTTTTGCAGTTTTTCATATTTCATGTGGCGCGTGGTCCATTTGTGGAAGAATTCTATCAATGCGTGACACATGGCTTTTACACCGCCGAATGGCAGGAGCAGCTTTACGCAACATTTACTTTAGTTTTTACATTCCTGCTGCCGCTGTGTATACTCTTCGGAAGCTACATGTCGACATTTCGCACCATTTCAAGTAAGTATGGGAACGAAATGTGTTTTTATGTAGATAAAACTTGGCACACCCACACACATAACTGGGAAAAAGGGTCGTCATATTTTTTCATTGTTTAATCAATAAACATTTCCCCATTCTGGAGAAAAGGGTGTTTATTGTTCAAAGGGAAATGTTTGTATTGTTTAGTTTTTGGGGACATTTTTGGAGAATTTAAACATTTTTTTTTTCTGCGAAATTTTTAGCTTTACAATTTGTGGAAAAAAAGGACTCTGTTTCCTGTTTATTACAACAACCCATGTGCCGTATTGAATTTTCCAATAAAATTTTTATTTATCAAAACCATCCGGCCTCAGCATTGTCTCACATTGCCCATCTCAAATTACCGAGTAAAACGACACCAAGTTGACATTGATTTACCATTAAAAACGAATGACTTCCAGCCAAATGCGGCCAAGAGCAACAAACATATAGTCCATAAATGACTACAGCAGTGGAGCATTAAATTGCATCCAACACTACATATGACATACAGAGATGTCACACACAGGGTGGTGGGATGACTGGTTGGCTAGAGGCAATTTCATTGGATCAATTCCAGCTGTGTAACAGCAGCAAATAGTTTTAAAACTGGCCTCTTCCCTTTGGGCATTCCGCTCATAAAAGTTAATTTGCCATAAGGAAATAAAAACTTTATTGGACCATTTTACAAGGACAATGAAAAATTAGCGCGAAAATCCTTATTTGTTCAGTCGACAAAGGGATAAGGATGTGTAATTTTCAAAGGCAAAGCCGATACAGGAAGTGAACAATATTTCAGCGAAAATAGAATGCTGTGGAAGAAAGAATTTGTGCAACTGCGAGTGGAGTTGAATTTTCGGAGAACATTTTTCCAAGGACCATCAGAGCTTTCAAAGTGGATTGATTGGATAGGATTAAGGATATTTTTTGCAGAACTTCTCTCTTGAATTTTTAAGTGTCTTTTTTTAATGACCATCAGATATCTTCCGTGGATTTTTTAAGATTATTTCTCTAAGGATCATCGGAGCCATCAACGTGAATTTTTAAGAATATTTTTCTAAGAACCATCGGATTTCCTAACATGGATTTTTTAAGAATATTTTTCAAAGGTCCATCTTTCCATAGCCCAGCAGAAAAATATACGTAGATTTTCTATCTTTCCAGAACCCATCGGAGATATAGTTTTGGATTTTGAAGAACATTCAGTAAAAGCTCATTTAGCCATTTAGAATACCTATGAAAGCTTTTCTATAAACAGGGGACCTGTCAAAAGTTCTTCCAGTCATTAAATTATTATAAAATGTCTTTGGGCCAGAGATGACCTACCTATAAAGCACGTCTAGTCACAAAATACATGTAAAACCTCTTCTTGCCATAGTAAAAATCTCTTTTATACATAGAAGACCCGTAAAAGCTCGTCTATCTATATAATATCTGTTAAAGGTCTTCGAGCCATAGAAGGCCTGTTAAGGGTCTTCCAGCCACAGAACACTTGTGAAAGGTCTTCCAGTCATAGAAGATATGTTAAGGGTCTTTCAGCCAAAGAATCAATGTGAGAGACCTTTCAACTATAGCAGACTTGTAAAAAGTCTTCCAGCCATAGAAGTCCTGTAAAAGCTCTTATAGCCATAAAAGACCTGTAAAACCTCTTCTAGCCGTAGTATACCAGTAAAAGCTCTTCTAGCTATAGAATACCTATTAAATCTCTTCTAGCTATAGAAGACCTGAAAGAGCTCTTCTAGGCATTGAAGACCTCTAAAAGCTACTCTAGCCGTAGAAAACCTGTGGATTTTTAAGAATATTTTTTCAGAACCCAGCAGATATATGGGCGTTGGTTTTTAAAAATGTTTTACCGATAACCTATAAAAGCTTTAGACGCGAATTTTTTGTAATATTTTTCACATAACCCAGCAAAGCTATGGATGTGGGTTTTTAAAGGGATAACCCATCAAAGCTCTGCACGTGTTTTTTATTATTTTTTCATAGCCCAGAAAAAATACAAACGTGGGATTTTAAAAATATTTCTCCATGACCCAGCAAAGCTTTAGACGTGAATTTTTAAGAATATTTAAAAAAATCAGCAGAGATATAGACGAGGATTATTAAAAATATTTGCCGATAGCTCAGCAAAGCTTTAGACGTGGATTTTTTTTGGCATATTTTTCCCATAACCAGCAAAACTATAAACGTGGGTTCTTAATATTTTCGCATAACCCAGCAAAGCTAAAGACATCAACGCTTTAAACGTGGATTTTTTTAAGAATATTTTCCCATAACCCAGCAGAGCTTCAGACGTGTTTTTTATTTTTTTTTTCATAACCCAGAAAAAATACAAGCGTGGGATTTTAAAAATATTTCTCCATAATCCAGCAAAGCTATAGACGTAAATTTTTAAGAATATTTAAAAAGACCAACAGAAATATAAACATGGATCTTAAAAATATTTTCCGATAGCTCAGCAAAGCTTTAGATGTGTTTTTTTTTTTTTTTTTGCATATTTTTCCCATAACCCAGCAAAACTATAAACGTGGGTTCTTAAGATTTTCGCATAACCCGGCAAAGCTATAGACGTAAATTTTTAGTAATATTAAAAACAAACCAGCAGAGATAAAGAAGAAGATTTTTAAGACTATTTTCCCATATCCCAGCAAATATTTAGACGTTGATTTTTTAAGAATATTTTCCTATATCCCAGCAAATATTTAGACGTGTTTTTAAGAATATTTTTCCATAACCCAGCAGAGATATGGACGTGAAATTTTTTATGAATGTTTTTTCCATATCCCAGCAAAGATATTGACGTGGATTTTTAAGCATATTTTCCGATAACACATCAACGCTTTCGACGTGGATTTTTTTATTTTTCATAGGCCACCAAAGATATAGACGGGGTTTTTATGATTTTGTCCACAACCCAGCAAATCTATAGACGTAGATTTTTTAAGAGTATTTTTCCATAACCCAGCAAAGCTATATACGTGAATTTTCTAAGAATATTTTGCCATAACCCAGCAAAGCTTCAAACGTGGGGTTTTAAGAACATTTTTCCCATAACCCAACAATGCTTTAGACGTGGATTTTTTTTTAATATTTTTCCCGTAATCCAGCAATGCTGTAGGCGTGAATTTCTAAGAATGTTAAAAAAACGACAGAGATAAAGAAGTAAATTTTTAAGAATATTTTCCCATAACCCAGCAAAGATATAAAAGTGGATTTTTAAGAGTATTTTCCAAAGACTATCAAAGCTGCTAACAAATATTTTTTATTTTTTTTTAAGACCATCGGAGCTCCTTACGTTATTTTTTTACGAATATTTTTCCAACGACCATCAGAATATTTTAGATTTTTTTCCAAAACCCAACAAATCTACAGACGTGGTATTTTTTTTAATATATTTTGTCCATAACCCAGCAAAGATATTGCCGTAACTTTTTTGAAAATATTTTCCCATAACCCAACAACGCTTTAGACGTAAATTTTTTGAGAATATTTTCCCATAACCCAACAACGCTTTATGCGTGGATTTTTTTTTTAATATTTTTCCCGTAATCCAGCAAAGCTGTAGGCATGAATTTCTAAGAAAATTAAAAAAACAACAAGGATAAAAAAGTGGCTTTTTAGGAATATTTTTCCCGTAACCCAGCAAAACTAAAAACGAAATTTTTTTAAGAATATTTTTCCATAACCCAGCAAAGATATAAAAATGAATTTTTTAGAGTATTTTCCAAAGACCATCAAAGATGCTAACAAGGATTTTTAATTTTTTTTTTTTTTTTTTGAAGACCATCGGAGCATCCTGCCTGATTTTATTACGATTATTTTTCCAACGACCATAAGAGTATTTTAGATTTTCTCAGAACCTTTTTACAAGGATTACTACTGATTTAAATACTTATAAGAAATTCTATTTTTATTTCATTCAATAGGAATGTGTTGGGGGGCAATTCCGATTGAGTGGTTCTCCATCCTCACACCCTTGTATTATTCCACAAACAAACAACATTCTGACCTTTTCCCACAATCCTCTTATAAGTTAATGTAACATGTCTAAAAATAGCGCAAAAGTCCCACAATTATTTGGCACTAGGACAGTAATCTTGGCAGGACAAAGCAAACAACAAACATTCCAATATTTTCTCACGCCTACACACACATACTCCCTCCTATACTTGAGGAACATTGTTAAGCTACCTTTGTTGTATGTCTATTTTAATTTTCTTGATATGTTTATTTTTGCTGCTTCTTATGAACTTTCTTCACTTTTTTTTCTTTTCCAGGTAGTGAAAAAATGTTCCAAGGCTCAAAATTGGCCGACTATACCAACAAACCTTCGAGCAAAACAAATCGCCAACGTCTGATACACAAGGCGAAAATGAAGTCACTGCGCATCTCGGTGGTCATCATCATTGCCTTTCTCATCTGCTGGACGCCGTACAATGTCATGATGTTGATATTCATGTTCTGGAATCCGGACAAGAGAGTAAGTCAAGTGTATAAGGCTGGCATGTTAATCCAATCGAAGATTACAAATATCCATTCACAAGCTAAAATCACAACAACTTATGGATATGATATTGGGCATAGGCATGGGCATGGGTTTTGGGTGAAATCTTAGATAATAATAATCAACTTATGTGTATGATATAACATATATATTTGCATATGTGGGGGTATGTATCGGAAAATGTGTAGAAAATGTAGATTGACAGGGTGTTCTTATATAGCTTAAATTTTACTTTGTTTTCACAATTTCAATTTCTAAAGGATTTTCAAGGCTATTTGGAGAGAAAAGTATAGAGTGAGAGAGAGCAATAATCTTGAATTTTAGAGAATATTTCGAGAAAGATAAAAATAATTGCGGATTTTTAAAGGATATTTTGAGAGACCCAATCAAAGTTATTGAAATGAATTTTAAAAGGATATGTTGAGAGCTACGAACGTGGATTTTGAACTGATTTTGAGAATTCCCGTCTGAGGCACAAACGTGAATTTTGGAAAGAAATAGGTAAAGGTCCCATCGAAGCTAAAAACGATGGTCTTTAAGGATATCTTGAGAGGTCCCAGGGGCGATATATAGGTGGAAACCTAAAGGTTCTTTTCAGATGTCCAATCAGAGTTGTTGACTTGAATTTTTAAAGGATATTTTCAGTGGTCCTATCAGAGTTATAAGCTCGGATTTTAAAGGATATTTTTGGAGGTCGCTTTTAAGCTATAAACATTAAGAATATTTTGAGAGGTTCACTCAGAGATATTTTGAGAGATCCCATCAGAGCTCCAATTGCGGGTTATAAGGATATTTTAAGTGGCCTAATTTGAGTAATAAACATGGATTTTAAAGGATATTTTGTAAGATATTTTGTAGGATATTTTTAGAGGCCCCATTGGAGATATTAACGTGAATATTCTTCAATATTTTGAGAGCTCCGATCTGAGAAATAAACGTGGATTTTTAAAGGATATTTTAAGACGTCGAGACATAAACGTGAATTTGAGGATGAAATATGTAAAGAAGCTAAAAAATTGGGGTTTTAAGGATATTTTCGGAGATCATATCGGAGATATATATCTGGATTTTTAAATAATATTTTTAGAGGTCCCTTCAAAGCCATAAACGTGGATTTTTTAAAGGATATTTTGAGACGTCGAGACATAAACGTGAATTTGAGAAGGAAATATGTAAAGAAGCTAAAAAATTGGGGATTTAAGGATATTTTCGGAGATCATATCGGAGATATATATCTGGATTTTTAAAGAATATTTTAGAGGTCCCTTCAAAGCCATAAACGTGGATTTTTTAAAGGTCCCTTCAAAGCCATAAACGTGGATTTTTTAAAGGATATTTTTAGAGGTCCCTTCAAAGCCATAAACGTGGATTTTTAAAGGACATTTTTAGAGGCCCTTTCAAAGCCACAAAAGTGGATTTTTTAAAAGATATTTTTAGAGGTCCCTTCAAAGCCATAAACGTGGATTTTTTAAAGGATATTTTTAGAGGTCCCTTCAAAGCCATAAACGTGGATTTTTTAAAGGATATTTTTAGAGGTCCCTTCAAAGCCATAACGTTGATTTTTTAAAGGATATTTTTAGAGGTCCCTTCAAAGCCATAAACGTGGATTTTTTAAAGGATATTTTTAGAGGTCCCTTCAAAGCCATAAACGTGGATTTTTTAAAGGATATTTTTAGAGGTCCCTTCAAAGCCATAAACGTGGACCTTTTTAAGGACATTTTTAGAGGTCCCTTCAAAGCCATAAACGTGGATTTTTCTAAAGGATATTTTTAGAGGTCCCTTCAAAGCCATAAACGTAGATTTTTTAAAGGACATTTTTAGAGGTCCCTTCAAAGCCATAAACGTGGATTTTTTAAAGTATATTTCTAGAGGTCCCTTCAAAGCCATAAACTTGGATTTTTTAAAGGATATTTTTAGAGATCCCTTCAGAGCTACAAAAATTGAGTTCTAAAGGATATTTTTAGATGTCCCTTCAAAGCCATAAACTTGGATTTTTTTAAAGGATATTTTTAGAGGTCCCTTCAAAGCCATAAACTTGGATTTTTAAAGGATATTTTTAGAGGTCCCTTCAGAGCCATAAACTTGGATTTCTAAAGGATATTTTTAGAGGTCCCATCAGAGCTACAAAAATTGAGTTCTAAAGGATATTTTTAGATGTCCCTTCAAAGCCATAAACTTGGATTTTTTAAAGGATATTTTTAGAGGTCCCTTCAAAGCCATAAACTTGGATTTTTTAAAGGATATTTTTAGATGTCTCTCCAAAGCCACAAACGTGGATTTTTAAAGGATATTTTTTTAGAGGTCCCTTCAAAGCCATAAACGTGGATTTTTTGAAGGATATTTTTAGAGGTCCCTTCAAAGCCATAAACGTGGATTTTTTAAAGGATATTTTTAGAGGTCCCTTCAAAGCCATAAACGTGTATTTTTGTAGGATATTTTAGAGGTCCCTTCAAAGCCATAAACGTGGATTTTTTAAAGGATATTTTTAGAGGTCCCTTCAAAGCCATAAACGTGTATTTTTGTAGGATATTTTAGAGGTCCCTTCAAAGCCATAAACGTGGATTTTTTAAAGGATATTTTTAGAGGTCCCTTCAAAGCCATAAACGTGTATTTTTGTAGGATATTTTAGAGGTCCCTTCAAAGCCATAAACGTGGATTTTTTAAAGGATATTTTTAGAGGTCCCCTTAAAACATTTTTAGAAATCCCATCAGAGCTGTAATTGAGGATTATAGAAGATACTTTAACAAGCCTCATTTGAGTAATAAACAATTTTAAAGGATTTTTTGAGAGTATATTTTGAGACGGACCTTTTTTAGAGGTTGCATCAGAGCAATAAACGTTAATTTTAAAAGGATTTTTAGAGGTTCCAACAGAGCTTAAACCTATTTTTTTAAATGATATTTCAAGAGGTCCAATTGGAGATAAAAACCTGGATTTTTAAAAATATCCAGAGGGCACTTTCTCTTACAAAAAAATGAGCATTTTGAGATGCCCAATTGTAGATATAAACGAGGAGTTCTAAGGTACATTTTTGAATTGCAATGAAAAATTAGCAGAAAATTGTAATTTCTTTGGAAAGCCTGCGCTGATATTTCCTTTATAAGCTATAACAAGTAAAAAAGTTGTAAGTTCGGCCGGGCAGAACATTGAATACCCTCCACCATTTGGAACGAATTTAGCAATTTTCAAAAAAAAAAAACTCTGTTAAAATCTTAAAAATACCACATGTAGCTATAATATTAGAGCCTAACAACGACGAGGACCTGCATAGGCAACTTTTTTCATAAGCCATTTTAATATTCAAATGCGAAACGAAAAAATTCGGTGAGTACTGTAGCTAAAATCATCAATATAGGGAGGTACTATTATATAGGGGCTATACGAAGACGTGGACCTGCTGTCATAGGCTGTAGTATCCATTACAAACTTCAAATGCCAAATTTGAAACAATTCCGGTGAATAATGTCGCTAAAATCATCAAAATACCGAATATTGGGAGATAGCGTTATATGGGGGCTAAACGAAGACGTGGACCTGCACAGACAATCTTCTATCATAGGCTATAGCACCCATTTCGAACTTCAAATACCAAATTTGAAACAATTCCGGTGAATGATGTCGCTAAAACCATCAAAATACCGAATATTGGGAGGTACCGTTATATGGGGGCTACACGAAGACGTAAACCTGGACAGACAATTTTCTGTCATATGCTGTAGTATCCATTACGAACTTCAAATGCCAAATTTGAAACAATTCCGGTAGATAATGTCGCAAAAATCATCAAAATACCGAATACCGGGAGGTACTGTTTATGGGGGCTATACCAAAACGTGGACCTACATGACCTATTTTCAATACCAAAAATCCTGCAGACATAATATACATTTGAGTAAAATTCTATCAATCTACTTCAATTCGTTCGAGCGATTTCCACAGACGGATGGACGGACGGACATGGCTAAATCGACATAGAATTTTATGCTGATCAAGAATATATATACTTTGTGGGGTCTAAACTTAATATACCCCCCCAACCATGGTGGAGGGTATAAAATATTACAAATAAAAGTGTATTCTGCCTTAATTTTAAATGGCTAATAGTTCAGCGATTTGGAAAATGTACTACACATTAGGATGGAAAGTTCAAAGATTTATTCACGTCGTTGGCTATGCTAACCACATTACATCACATAATTATAGAGAAATTATGCAATGGCAAGCAAACATGAAAAGCTCGGCAAATACACCAGTTCTAGAATAGAATTCCATTATCATTTAAATGTTTCAAAGTTGATTTTATTTAACGAACATACCGACATATCCTGATTATTATTTAGTTTAGTAGGTTCTCTACTTATATTTGAACTTCCGTCCTTCCACCATCCAACCATCCTGCCTGTAATTCGAATTCAGGTTGTAATTTTTGTTTGATGAGGAATGGTCGGTCCGTCGATCGGTGCTACTTTCTGGCTTCCCTTTAATTTACACACACACATATACTAATACACACATGTGTTTGTTTGTTTGTATGGATATTTACGTTGAGTTTTAATGTTAATTTGCTTAGTTGGATTTAATTTAATTGCGTACTTAATATAGATTAATGTAATAAAAATGGGAAAGCAAAGCAGAACGCTTCTTTGTAATAGACGATGACGACGACCTGGCGTTAATGGAAATTTTATTATTTTCTGATTTGCAAAGCAGATAGTTAAAGTACAGAGTGTCTGCTTTGTATCAGGAACTACAGAGAAAATGTTTAATTTTGAATCCGGAAAAATGAAGGATGTACATAACAAAGAGGAAAATTGTATGTAATTAAGTTTTGATTGCGTTGTTCGTTCATATTGAGGGAAATAATTTTAATGCTTTAAGTTTGAAGCCCTAAATTATTTTTCAAATTTAAGGAGGATTTTTTATTTATCGCAGATCTGTGGGTTATATTCATAAAAATTCATAGAATATATTCTAAAAAGAGGTTTATATTTGAAAGAGGCCTATAATTACCTATGAAATTGCAATTTAGGAATGATTCCCTGTCTGAGAGTCCCTTAAAAGGGTCTCCGGTCTATAGAAAATCTATAAATATAAAACTCACGAAAGTCCTTTAAAAAGAGAACTAGAGCCGCTTTTCCGCTAATTATGGTAGCTTTAAAAATTCTAACTTTTCAGGGGTTAGGCAGGTTTGCCAAGAGCTTAAACATATATATAGATTTAAAGGATATTTTGAATGTCCCATCAGAGCTTTGAACGAGGGTCTTTTAAAGATATTTTCAGAGGTCCAATCGGATAAGGATATTTAGACGTGTCCATCATAACTATAAACGTTGATCTTATAAGGTTATTTTAAGTGGTCCCATCAAAAAACTTGGGTTTCTTTAAAAGATAGTTTGAGAATCCCATTAGAGGTATAAATGTGGATTTTTAGAGCCTCTATCGGGCTTTAAATATGAATGATAAAAATGATATTTTGAGAGGAGCAATCAACGTGGATCCTTTAAGGATATTTTGGGAGGCCCCATTTGATATTTTTAAATAATATTTTGAAAGCCCCATCAGAGCTAAAAACAAGAATATTTTACTTTGATAGGTCCCATCAAAGCCTTAAACGTGGATTTTTAAAGCATATTTTGAGAAGTCCCATTAGTGCTATAAACGTGGATATTTTAAGGATATTTTGAGATGTCTAATTAGAGCCAAAAACGTGGATCTTTTAAGGTATTTTTGATAGGCGCAATTAAGGATTTTTAAAGGATATTTATTTAAATAATATTTTGAAAGCACCATCAGAGCTAAAAACAAGAATATTATACTTTGATAGGTCCCAACAAAGCTATAAACGAGGATATTTTAAAGATATTTAGACAGGTTTCATCAGAGCAATTAACGTGAATCTTTTACGACAATTTTGAGAGGTCTTATTAGAGACTTGTAAAAGATATTTTGACAGGTACCACTACAGATTTTTATAGTGTATTTTGAGAAGTCCATTTAGAGCTATATACTTGGATCTTTTAAGGATATTTTGATAGGCCTCATTAGAGATTTTTAAAGGACATTTTAGAAGCCTCACCAGAGCTAAAAACAAGGATCTTTTAAGGATATTTTGAGAGATTCCGTCTGAGCAATAGATATGTATTTTTAAAGGATCTTTTGAGAAGGCCCATTAGAGATTTTTAAAGGATACTTTGAGAGGTTCCATTAGAGTTATATACGTGGATCTTGTAAGGATATTTTGTAAAGTCCCATTAGAGATTATAAAGGATATTTTGAAAGTCTCATCAATGCTGAAAACAAGAATCCTTTAAGGATATTTTGAAGGGTCCCATCAGAGTAATATATGTTAGAGATTTTTAAATTATATTTTGAGAGGTCCCATTAGAGGTATAAATGTAAATATTTGAAGGATATTTTGGAGGGCACATTAGGGATTTTTAAAGGATATTTAGAAAGCCACATCAGTGGTCAAAATAAGGATTTTCTAAGAATATTTTGGCATGTTCCATCAAAGCAATAAACTTGAATTTTTAAAGGATATTTTGAGAAGTCCCGTTAGAGATTTTTAAAGATTACTTAGAAAGGTCCCATTAGAGCTATAAACGTGGGTTTTAAAGAAGTGTCATCAGAAACTGTTACTTTCGACAGGTCTCATCAAAGCTATGAACGGAAATTCTAAAAGCTAATTTGAAAACCCCATCAGAGCTATAAACGAGCATCATTTAATAATATTTCAAGAGGATCCATCAGATCAATAAAGGTGGATCTTTAAACTATATTTTGGGTGGTCCTATGGACGTTTATATCCACGTATATGAGACTGATACGTGGATATAAACGTCCATATTTCAAAAATATTTCGTGAAGTCTCATCCGAGCCACAAACGTGGATCTTTAAACGATATCCGAGCTATAAAAATGGTTCTTCAAACGATATTTTGAGTGATCCTACCAGAGATATTAACATGGATCTTTAACATATATGTTGAGGGCTCCCATTAGAGCTATTAACGTGGATCTTCAGAGAATATTTCGAAAGGTCCTATCGGAGATATAATCTTGGATTTCTTAAGAATTTGAAGACCATTCAAAAGTTATCCATCTATAGAAGACCTTTTGAAAGTCTTCTGGAAAGTCCTCTACCTTTTGAAAGTCTTTTCAAGGTCTTCTTCATAGCAGACCTTTTAAAAATCTTCGTTCTATAGAAGACTTTTTGATTTTCTGTTTGAAAAAGAGTTTCAATGTCTTTATTCTTTGAAAACATTGCGAAGACATTCTATGAGTAGAAGTCCCTCTTTCAAAAGAAATCCTTGAAGGCCTTCATTCCACACCTATTTATACTCTCCGCCAGAGTATGGAAGGTATATTAAGTTTGTCATTTCGTTTGTAACACCTCGAAATATACATTTCAGACCCCACCAAGTATTTGTATTCTGGATCAGAATAAAATTCTGTGTCGATGTAGCGATGTCTGTGGAAATCACTGTAGCTTCCGAACGAAACTAAACAGGCTGATTTATTGAAATAGTATTCATTTGATTAGGCCCCATATAACTATGCCTGCAGATTTCAGGTCCTTTGTTTTTTAGTCACAATTTTAACCAGAATTTGCTGTAAATTATGTCCCAAATATGTAGGTAATATCCTTGCTTAAATCTGCCCATATTAGCCCAATTTTTGGTAAAGTCCCCATATAACTGTATCTCCAGATATTCGACAATTTAATGACACACTTTTCACCACAATCGTTTAAAATTTGGTATTTGAAGTTAGTAATATGACTGAAAATTGCTTCTACAAATCCGCATCTTCGTATAGCCTCCATATAACTATATATATCTCACAATATTCGGTATTTCAAGAATTTGAGCAAAAACAAAAAAAACAGACTTATCTCAAACTTGGTATTTGCAGTTTTCAGTAGAATCGCCTTCTCTGGCAGATAATTGGATAGCCCCTATACAACGGTACCTCCCTATATTCTATATTTTGATGATTTTAGGTAGATTTTTCAATAGAATTATATCAAACTTGGAGTTTGGAGTTCGTAATAGTCGCCCCCTTCTGTGGAAGACAATTGTCTGTAGAGATCCACGTTTTCGTATAGCCCCATATAATTTTAACACCTGATATTCGGAATTTTTAAGATTATATTGGTATTTTCATCTGATTTTTTTAAGATTTTGTAAGTTCCTTCCTTTACTTAGTATGGTCTCCCATCAACTGAAGGGGTAAATTTGAGCTTCATTTTATAAATGACCTTTTTAAAGTCTTCCATGCACCGAAGATTTTTTGACATTATTTGTTCTGTAAAGAACTTATTTTGAACGTCTTCATCCTGAGCCCATGACTATGACAAATTTTTAAGGTCTTCTGGCTACCGAAGATTTGCTCAATTTCTCTTCTCCACAGTAAAGCTCTTAAGTGTCCACTATTCATAGAAAATTAGAAGAAATTCCACCTAAAAGAGACGTTTTAAAGGTCTTCTAACTCTAGGATATATTTCGAATGGTCCTATACCTATAGAAGCACTTCTGTCTAGAAGACCTTTAGAAGACGTTCCATTTAAGACATTTAAGCAGGTCTTCTATTCACAATCAGACTTAATAATTAATTTATGTAATATTTTATTAAAATTTATTACTCACATATTTATTTATAAACAAATGTGTTATTGTGTCTTTTTTGTAAGTAAAAAAATAAGAATTTAGTTTTATTTGAAGAAAACTTCTTGTGTTTCTTACTCCACAAACTAACTACCTGGCCTCAGGGGACATGTAACACTTGTTTTGTGGTAATACTTGTCATATGGAGGGTCAATCACACATTTTCTACACATGGGATATTTTTCATTGAATCCCTTAGGACAATTTCATGCAAGTGTTTTCTGTCTAGACACAGGCTGTAAAAGCCATGGGGAAATTACAAAAAATAGAAATCTACACACCCACCTTAAACGCCAAACAAAAATAAAGCCCTAAAAATTACATCACCTATTATTTCTTTTCTATTTTTTTCCAGTTCGGTGAAGATTTACAATCGGCCATATTCTTTTTCGGCATGTCCAACAGTTTGGTCAATCCCCTCATCTACGGAGCCTTCCACCTCTGTCCCATGAAACGGAAGACCAGCAAAAAGGGCAACAACAACAATGGCAACTATAGCCTCAACAGGTTGGTAGAAGCATTTCAAATAGCTGGACATCGATGATTCCTTACTTAGCACAGGCACTTTTTATGTTTTTGTCCCGTTTGTCCACATTTTTAATTTTATTACGATTTCCCGGTATTGGCTACCATTCTCCACCTCTTCCTACCTTCCTGAACCACCCTCCCCCCCCCCCTTCCCTTCCTCATCATTTCCACCCACCATTGTGTTGTATCCCATTTGTTTGTTTTTTGTTTTGTTGTATACCTTGTTTTAAACATTAGATATACTTTCAGAGGTGACTCACAAAGGACCCCCTCCATGTTGACTGCCGTGACACAAATCGATTGCAATGGCCGCCAGGTGAGAACATATCGCCAGCCGAGTTACTATCGCAGCATCAGTACGGGTAGCAATTACAAGGAGAATATTGGTCTACTGCAGACGCCAACAAATAATGGTGGTGGCACTCCCACACCCGGTCTAATACGGAAATCGGCCTCCATGAGAAGTCCCCACCCGAACCAGAGATCAATGGTACACACTGCAGGAAGTAGACGGAATTTTAATCAACCGTTAAGAGCTGGCGTCATGGACGATTACGATAATCAGCGACAGTATCACAACCATTCCAGCGAAATAATCCTCAATGACAATTCCAGCAATGACGCCGGTCCTGTTGTGGTCAGTGAAGGCCAAGCCGTTTCCATTGTACTGAGCTATGACAACCAACGTGGAGGTGTGGCAGCAATGAAACGCTCCAATACAGGTTCCATAAGCCCAACGGCAGCACCCTTCACCGCACCAAAGAATGGTTATCGAACAGCGAATAATCTTTCCAACACCCTAGGCATTGGTCCAGCCACCTACGGCAATTGTGGCAACGACAGTGTATCGAGTGTATGAGACATAATGTATGGATGGAACCCGGAGGAGTTTTCACATCACCCGACAACAATTAGAGACTGGTTTTAAAAAACAAAAATGACAAACAATTGTTTTCCAAAAACAAGGTTGTAACTTAGCCACGATGACCACCCCCAACAAAAAAACAGCGACAACATTTTTTTTTCTGTAGCCAAGCGAAAAAAAAAACTTTAAAGTAAACCAAAAATTGAAAATGAAAAATTTAAAATTATTTTTATATATACTGTAGTTTGTAATGAAAAAAATATATATTTAGTAATAATATTTTTATTTAAAATACATTTCTAATTGTGGTTAATTACTTTTAATATTACAGGGTCTATACCAATCTTAGGGATAACTAAACAGATGAATTTAAAATAATTCATATTCATTAACTAAACCGATAGTGGAAAGCTCATATTCCCAATTCAAATCTTTTGAAACCGACGGTTTTGAATTTTTTTCGGAGAGCCATGAAAGGAAATTCAGATATGGCAATGGGAATATAAGAATGTAATGTTAGCACAACGATTGGAAAAATGGGCTTACGTTAGGGTGAGATAAAAAAACTGCAACAAATTAAGAGGCCATAATTTTTACATTTTTTTTAATTTTATTGAATGAAAGCAAAAATTGTCGGAAAAAGTATCAAATTTCAGAAAAAGTTTAGATTTGTTTGAATTGGTCACCTTTGGCACGAATTATGGCCTTCAAACGGCCAATGAAACCGTCACACGCTGCCCAAATGTTGCTCTGCGGTATTTTGATCGACACTTTGGTATTTTTTTAGTGCCTTGCTTTCCAAAAAACTCCAGACAGAATAGTCCAACGGATTGGTATCCAGAGATTTTGGTGGCAATTGTGCGCTGGAAATGAAGAAAGAAACCTAATTTTGTTACCATTTTTGTGTGGGGCTTGCTGTGTGCGATGGTGCTGAGTCCTGTTGGAATGTCCAAGATCTGCGGCCAAAATATTTGCTCCAGAATATTTTCGCGATAATATTCGGCACTTATTCTAATGCCATTGTCGATTAATACGAGCGGAGAGTGACCATCGGCTGTTATGGCGGCCCACACCATCACCATGGCCGGCGCTTGAGTTCTGGTGGCCAACCGAAGGTGCACATTTTCAGCTGACCTCTTTGGCAAGTAAACACGATCATTTTGTTTGTTTACAACCTGCTGGACAACGAATGTTTTCTCATCGGAGGCGGAGAAAATAAAATTCGGCAGTTCAGCTCTTTTGAGTCTATTTTAATTCTGTTGCTGTTGCGGTGTAAGTTCTTGCACTTTTTGGAATTTCAATGGCTTTACCCCGAGCTCATTTTTCAGTGTTTGCCGAACGAAATATTGCGATATGTTCAGCTCACGAACCATTTTTCGGCCACTGCGACGCGGGTTGCGATAAAATCGCCGCTTTACTTTTCGAACCATTTCTGCTGATGTTGCTGTTTTCTTCCGTCCACTTCCTTGACGTCGGGCTGCGCTAACAGTATCACAGTAAGGAGCGACGGTACGAGACACAAAAGATTTATTCACATTTAAATGTGAAAAACTGTCTAAAAAATATTTAAATTTGTGTGCATACTTTTAGGATGTTGCAGATTGGCTAGTGACAAACATTCTTAGAAATATTTGAATTTTAGTGCATACTTTTAGGCTCAACAATTAATATATTTGATTTTATGTGTTCTTGAGGAGTTTGGCTTTAAATTACCGTTTATACGTCCACGTTATCGTATAGCCCCTATATAACAGTAGACCCCCCCCCCCTTATTTTTGTATTTCGATGATTTTAGCCACATTTTTCAATTGGAATTGAAGTTCTTTGTGAGTACTTTACTCCCTGAAAGAGAATTGTCTATATAGCTCTACGATATGGTATATCTCCCATATAACGGTACCCCCGATATTCGGTATTTTGATGATTTAAGCCACATTTTTCAATGAATTTGTCTTAAAATCCACAAAAGGATTTCCTTGTGAGTACTTTATTCCCAAGAAGAGAATTGTCTACATAGGTCCACGATATCGTATACACCCCCTCCCTCCATGTAACGGTGCCACCCGATATTCGGTATTTTCATGACCTTAAAGGAGTTCACAGATTTTTTAAAAATATTTGCAGGGCCCTATAGGACTTCGCGATTTTTTATAAAATTATTTTTGGGTTCAAATAACTTCGAGGATTTTTAAAAATATATAATGATAAGCGCCATCTTGATATTCATACTAAAAAAAATCGCAGTACATATGTAACAGTCGCCTCAGATTTGTTTTCCGATTCTAAATGTATATGTATACCCATTTAGGTGCGAAACAAGACAGACCTATGACAAATTCGTGCTCTAGAACCGCGAATTATCTACAAATATCATTGCTATTGGATTAGTATGGTGAGAGCCACCTTAATATAATGGTTTGAGTTGCGACAATAGAAGGCAAAACGAGCTATAAAATAAAATGAACGCCAAAAGACATGAACTCACAACCATCTAAGAAATCAACCAAAATGGCCAAGGCTGTTGTGTGCAGCCCATAAGATAGTTTTATAAAACACCAATATAAAAAATATGTATATGTACACACATATGTAGTACGATGAGAGCCACCTTGATATAATGGTTTAGGGTATGACGATAGGAGGCAAAACGAGATAGAAAATAAATGTACCTCAAAAGGAGATGAACTCAAAACCATATTTGAAATCAATCAAAATGGCCAAGGCAGCCCATAAGAAAGTCTTATAAAAACACCAATATAAAAAATATATGTATGTGTATATATATGTATGTATATCGAAAATAATACTTAAATTCACTGCATTTCATTGAATGCCAGATTTTCTTTGAAAACTAGGATCTAAACTGTCTAATAATTCAATTCCGAAACTGCTTAAAATCTTTTATGAACGTCCTGAAATGTATGTACGTTTCTTTGTATCATTAATTAAACAAAACAATAAATACAAACACAAAATTGGCAGAAGTCGAGCGTACTTAGAACAAAATTTTGAGCAGAAAATGTACATTAAAAAAATATTAAAAAAGTTTTAGGAAAAAAAAATAATTCCTCAAAAATTTTCCAAATATTAGAAAGAAGTCTATGAATTAGATTTCAAGTATGGTATAATAAAAAGGTATAGTCTACCATACCTTTTTATTGTACCATACTTGAAATCTAATTCACAAACTTTTTTCTAATATTTGCCAAATTGTTCAGGAATTATTTTTCCCTTATTGATTTCAATTCCGAAGATGTTTTTTATTCTTGAATTCATATTCTGGTATTAGAAGGTGAGAAATACAAAAGCCAAAAAGAAAGTAAGAAAAGTAACATCGCAACTTGCCATTCGTTATTGGTTTTGTTCAATTCCAAGAAGCTGATGGTATTTGCCATAGAAAATTCCCTAAGGTTTTGTAGGCAATTTTTTCTTAGGAATAACCAATGGAACAGGTTATGGCCAGTAATAAAGAATATTTTGTATCATGATATGTTGGGAATTTTCTTTTGAGGGATATTGAGTTTGTATATAAAAAGTTTTTGACTACTTGAGAGAAAAATAAAACAAGAAACAACACCATTCATGTCTATTTGAAAATTAAAATTAAATATTTAAATATATACATAATGTTATCCATAAGAAGAATCTAAGGCTGTGTTTTGAAACGCAAAAAAAAATAAGTTTAAATGTAAAAATTAAAAAACCTAAGATATTTAAAATAAATTATAAATTCAATTTCGTATTAAATTGTAAATTAAATAATTATCATTGTAAATGTATGTGAAATTAAATTAAAGACAATATTTTATTTTTAAGATAATAACCACCCACACACACACCCATTCATCTGGAATGTAAACCAAATTAAAAATAGATTTAAGTTCCTTTAATATTACATTTTCTTTAATCTGCTCTACTTTCAAGTTTGTAATTAAATTCTTAACCGTCCTTACTCTTTATCATCCATCCCTCTGCCTGCCCTCCCCCAATAAATATAGAAGAAGAAGAAAAAACTGCTGCTGAGATACACAGAGGATTAATATTACAACAAAAAAGGAAACCATAAAAATGTGCACAAGGCAACTTTACTGCATGTCATTCGTGTGGAACAGATTTGATAATTGCGATTATTACAAAATTTAGTCACTTCGTTTAACATCAAATGGCTTTAAATTGCAACAAGGTCGGATTTTAATAGACTCTTTTTAACATGGCACACCGAATAGATTTGAGAAAGACGAATAATTATTTCAATATTATATATGCGAAAGGAAAAGAGTAGTTAAATTAAAAGCTTTTGTAAGAACTGCGTAGGCACAATTTCAATTCAATGAATTTTAAAATAAAAGTACAACGAGACGGCATGTCGGATTTCAAGAAGAACTTGTAAATAAATCCCTTACATTTGGAAGATCCCTCATATATTAAATATTTCGTTAAGAAGAGTTAATCAAAGAACCCTAACCATTAAACTACAGATGTTTGGAAATTGGGTTAGAAACCTTGAAAATGTCGAAAATCGACAGAAACCTTTGTTGAGAGGCTATACCAAAAGGTGGACCTACATTAAATATTTTTGGCGAGGAGTTAAACTACCCAATTTTGACCCAAAATATTAAATTACTGTCTCTTTTGTTGAGAACAGGAAACGTAGAATATCAGATAAAAGGTGAGACCCTGTTATTAAAAATAATTAACTACGGCGATATCAATTTTAGACTTCGAGAGGATTAGTAGAAGTTTTTGCAGACGCGTCCTTGTCGAACTTGATGAGGCGAGACGCCATTACACCATCTATTTGCATTGTGGGAAGACAAAGCGACTTCTTAGGAAGGCCTCTCCGGCCTTATGTGTGGCCACCATCATAGCCATTCCGTAGTTCTTGGCAGCTTCCAGTGACTTTAAAACCAGCCTGTTGTCCTTGACAGATTTCAGTGCTAAGACTTCAACCACCTTCAACGACCTTCAAGATCTCCTTCAACTTCATTACAGGAGGCCGAATCCATACAGAAGCTATCATATCACATAGGATCATTGATACAGGCTTAGCGGCGACTTAACTGCTTTCCCAAAGCGATTAATGGCCATTAACTGCAGCCATTAAAGATCAACAGATTCCTGATTGTCGCAGGTAATGGCTCCCCTGTAAAACGCAGCACGGCCAATCCGCACGTTGCTCTACTCCACCTCATCGGAAAGGTAGATGCACTGGGTTCCCGTCGATCAGTGGCCAATAATGCTCGCTGATGAACCCATTGAGATCATTCCCTGATTAATGTTCGGTACTCTTAGATACTCCGGTGAAATATATTGAGCAGCAAGGCTTCTGCGAAGCGGCAA